GCTTAGAGTGCTTATGGATGATGAAACCAGGTTAACTTCCCACTGTAGATGCAGGCAGCTTGTTCAGACTGTGCCTAATGTTTCCTACGGGATTACACAATCAGAACCAACTCCTTTATGATTTACCTTTTGAAGTTAGCATCATTGACATTGACTGTAGTTGACGCTTTCTGTAACTTAGCAGTTAGCTCTGCTTAGCAAGATGTAACTGAAGCTGAAGACTTCAGAATCAAAGTTAGTACTGTCTACAATCTTGTATTTCCATTTATTCACTCATTATCTGCATCTGCACACACATGTGCTTTGTAGCATTTATAGAGACTCACAGACAGCACCTCCAAGCATGACATTAAGCCTTTGGTAAAAGAAGAGACAAATCTTTCAAAGTTTAGCCTTTGTGTGGCAGGCAATTGCCTGAACCAACTCTAAGAAAGCTAAAGGCTATTGCTGTCAGCATTCCTGCTGTTAGCCTTTATTAAACAAGAGGACAGGTTACTGTTTTGGTATATAATTTACTCCCAGAAGTATGAAGCTGATAAATCTGACTCTGGAAAAGAAAACTTGTTCTTGAATACTCATGCAGAAGCACTGCATGAAATTGAGAAGTGATATTGTCAGCATCTTGTCCGCTCTGCCATCCTCACCAACACATTAAGAGGTTTCTGTTGGAATGGCTGTTGGTGTACACAGAAACCCAGGTGTGAACTGCTAGCATTTTTTAATCTGGTCCCTAGGTGGATTTAATTTGAAGTCACTGGAGGCATTCTTGCTGCTCCAGTGGAAGTTTGATGACTTTGTATGGCATGTATAGAAGCAAGATCTATACATTTGAATAGATTTTGTCAAAGAAAGGCTGAAGCCTTTAGTAAAACCAGGATTAATACAAGAAAAGACAATCTAGAAAGAACAGAAGGAGACAGATTTACACATTTAGCAAGTAAACTCTACTAATGGCTCTGAAATACAATACTGACCAGCTGCAGAACACAGATAGCAAAGATGAGTAAGGGGTAAAGCAGGAACACTGTTACTCTGCATTATGAAAGAGAAGCTGGAAAACAGAATCAGCTTCTGTGTTACATAAATCTGAATGAAGGGTCAGAATTTAGACGTAAACTTCCCTACAACACTACAAAGCTATGGAAAGTACAAAAATACAAATAAAATCAGGTGTCAGGGAAGCAAAGAGGCAAGACCCAGGAAAGATCAAGTAACCAACACATTTAACCGTGCCCCAAATGTATTATATTCTCAGACACACAGTAACCAAAAAGATCATAGAACAGTTTGTGTTGGACGGGACCTTAAAGATCACCCAATCCAAACCCCCTTCAATGAACAGGGACACCTTCCACTAGATTAGGTCCCTCAAAGCCCTGTCCAACCTGGCCTGGAACGTTTCCAGGGATTAGGGATCCACAACTTCTCAGGACAACCTGTTAAAGTGCCCCACCACCCTCATTGTAAAAGATTTCCTCCTGAGATTTGGTCTCAATCTACCGTCTCTTAGTTTAAACCACTACCCCTTATCCTGTCACAACAGACCCTACTGTAAAGTCTGTCCCCACCGCTTCTGAGCACTGGAAGCTGCTCTAAGGCCTCCCAGAAGCCTTCTCTTCTCCAGGCTGAACAACCCCAGCTCTCTCAGCCTGTCTCCATAGCAGAAGTGTTCCACCCCATAAGCATCTTCATGGACTCCTCTGGACTCACTCCACAGGTCCATGTCCTTCCTATGCTAGGGACCCCAGAGCTGGATGCAGTACTACAGGTGGGGTCTTAAGCAGAGCAAGAGAGTGGGAGAATCACCTCCCTCAACCTGCTGGTCACACTGCTGGTGATGCAGCCCAACATACAGTTAGCTTTCCAGGCTGCACACTGCCAGGTCACATCCAGCTTTTTGTACAGCAGTACCCCCAGGTCCTTCTCCACAGGCTGCTCTCAACCCCTTCACGCCCAGCCTATGCTGATACTAGGGGTTGTCCCGACCCACATCCATGACCTCGCTGGATCACCTGGGCCAGCACCTCACCACTCTCACAGGGAAGAACTTCTTCCTGGTGTCTAATGTAAATCTACCCTTGGTCAGTTTAAAGTTATTGCCCCTTGTCCTATCCCTAAAGGCCCTTGCCAAAAGTCTCTCTACAGCTTTCTTGTCAGCTCCTTTAGGTACCAAAATGCTGCCTCAAGGTCTCACCAGAGCCTTCTCTTTTCCAGAGTAGATTACACCTTTTTTTCCTGTTGTATATGGAAAATTAAAATGCCATCAGAAACTAATTGCTTTTCTCCTGCCTACCCAAGGCAGATAAGCAGACTCAGAAGGCTGATTTTTAAAGCCTGCAGCTATACTACCATTCACTACCTCGGCTCATCTTCATCACTTTTCTGGCTGAACAGTCTGGCAACATTTTTACACAGTGGCAAGGGTTGTGAGCACAGCTGTGGCCAGCTGAAGATTGGCGTCTTTGCTTCTAACCCTGTATTTGTACAATCACCACCACAAAGCTTCTACTTGACAGGCCTTTTACGGAAAGATGGGAATTAAAGCTATTGTGTCTGTTACCCTCTGCCTGCTGGGGGGTAAACCTGAACACTGCTCCTCAATACATCCCACAAATCACTGCTTACATCTGCCTATCCAGACAGTTCCACATAAGGAGCTAAATAAGCTGTAAAATAAACCTGAGAAAACAAGAAATCAGGACTGCTTTTTATTGGCTTGTGGAGTTGGTTTTGTGTGTGTATGTGCACTTGATTTTTGTCAATTTGCTAGACGCTGTTGACTTGTTCTTCAGCTACAGCTCTTTCTTCTGTGTCTAGTAAAGACAACTGAAGCTGGGAAGACTGAAAGCTTGGCACAGAATCACAGAATAGTTAGGGCTGGAAAGGACCTTAAGATCATCAAGTTCCAACCACCCCACCATGGGCAGGGACACCCCACACTAAATCGTATCACCCAAGGCCTCATCCAACCTGGCCTTGAACACCATCAGGGATGGAGCATTCACAACCTCCCTGGGCAACCCATTCCAGTGCCTCACCACCCTAACAGGAAAGAACTTCTTCCTTATATCCAGTGTAAAGTTCCCCTGTTTAAGTTTTAACCCGTTACCCCTTGTCTGTCACTACAGTCCCTAATGAAGAGTCCCTCCCCAGCATCCCTACAGGCCCCCTTCAGATACTGGAAGGCTGCTATGAGGTCTCCACACAGCTTCTCTTCTCCAGGCTGAACAACCATAACTTGCTCAGCCTGTCTTCATATGGGAGGTGCTCCAGTCCCCCGATTGTCCTCTTGGCCCTTCTCTGGACTTGTTCCAACAGTTCCATGTCTTTATGCATTATGCAAGAACATGTGAGTAGCTGAAAAGTAAAAGGATGAGGAAGGAATGTTGTTAGTATCACAGCTTCATTTTATTTCCCAGAAAAGAGCAGTCCAAGAGTACTGCACCCAGCTGTGACACTTCCTACCCTAAGGTATAACACAGCTCTCTCCCAGGCATGGATATTCAGAGGTAGGGACTATCCAGAACTACTCTGCACTCAGAAATGTGAGAGGTTAGGACAGACTATTCAGGTCCCAGATAATCTACACTGGAGAAGGAAAAAAGCTATAAAAGATGTGAAGGGAGCTTGAGGCTCTGCACACACCTGGCAGAAAGACAAGAGGGCTTAAGATAGGCAGCAATCTCACTCAGGTTCAACTCAAATTCATACTCAAACTATCACTAAAAACAAAAAATAAAAAACAAAAACCCCGTGTTAGAGACCAGCAGGATAGCCAAGAGGCCTCCTGAGTTTTAGAGCAGTAGACACACACACAGTTCCCAAATGAGAAGCTATTCCTAGTAGACAAAGGATTATTCCGCAAAACCCTGACAGAACCTCATCTCAAGCAGATCATACAGAAGGACTGAAGGAAGAGAGGAACAAGAATGACCATTGCAGCACTGAGCTTATTTTCAGAGGTGAACCTGAAAACCTGGTTTGATTTAAAGGGCAAAGCAAATGCCAAGACAGAAAAGCTGCTCCTCGGGCAAGCTAGGACACAACATTGGCACAAGTATAAGCTGGCCCTGAGTAAGTTAATGTCGGAAGTTGTACGCAATCTGATTTCAGAAGACTAAAAGTGAAGAGGTGAAAATGAAACTAAACACAAAACCCATCCTTCAAGTTGAAGCACAGTGCGCTTACAGAACAGACTCCAGAGTGCTAGCAGGAGCTCCCCGATGCCAATCATCAGCATAGCACAGCTTTATTTTTTTCAGCTGCAACACATTGATGCAGTTCTGGGGCAGGCTCCACACACCAGTGCTGCACTCTGGAGAGCAAACCAGGATCATCTGCTTCCTTATTCACATTCAAAAGATCCTTGCTGCCAGTATTTGCCTCCCTTATGCTCTAACAGGAACTTCCTTTTTACCGTAAGAGGGAGCAAAAAGGGAAATCCCCAGCAGGGAAAGGTTCGTTAATGGAAAGACTAAGAAGAAAACTGATGTAAATATGAAGTTTTCAATTAAGATTTACCCTGCAATATAACCAAGAGACACCTTTGGAGTTGCTGGTGATCGGGAGGACAAATCCCACCCAGCTCCCCTCCTCCTGCCAGCAAACACTACCCGCGCTTAACACAGCCTAGCTCGGCTGGGTACAGAGGAAAGTAAAATCAATAAGTTTCTATGCCAGAGCTTGAAAAGTTTATGCTGAAGGAAAGGAAATAAAAGCACTTGTTCTGATCACCGAAACCAGAAGCACAGAAGTTTATGACAGAACGTGAACTTCACCAGCATAGAGCTTAGAAAGGGGGAAGGAGAGGACAGAGAGATCCCGAGGTACTCCTAATGCTGATGACAAGGAGCATTAGACTGCCGGTACTGTGGCAGGGCAGTGGCGAAGCAGCACAGCAGGAAAGCCAGCCCCACGGCTATGAAAGCAGCAGCCTCCAGCTCCGCCGCCCGGAGCCCTCCCCAGGGTGACACCGGCCCGCCCGGGGCGGCACTCCCTACCCGAGATGGTCTCCTGGTAGCCTTTGGTGAAGAACTGCATGGCGGTGGCCGCCCTCCAGGGCGTCTTCAGCAGCCCCTGCCGCTCGGGGTCCTCGCCTAGCGAGCGCAGGATGGTGGTGTACGCGGCCGCCAGGCTGGGCAGGCTCAGCTCGTTGTCCTCCTCGCTGCGGGGCCGCTCGCCCCGCCACCCGTCCCCGCCACCGCCGGGGGGCCCGCGCGGCTTCTCGGCCACCGCCGACGGGGAAGCGGAGGGCGGCGGCGGCCTGTCCTGCCGCGCGTACCCGTTACAGCCCCGCGCCGCCTCCATGGGCGCCGCCACGGAGCGGGCAGAGCGCTGCGGTGGAGCCCGGAGCCCTCAGCGACCCCGCCCGCCGCCGCCGCCTCAGCCCAGCACCGCGCTCCCGTTCGCCTCCTCAACCGCCCGCTTTATACCGCCCGCGCCGCTGCCATTGGCAGCCGCTGCCGTTACGTCACCCGCTGTGTCATGAGCCGGCCGGTCTCAGCCCGCCACGACAGGGTGGCGCCAGGGGACGCGGGGATGCCGGCAGGCAGGGTGCCCCTTCATCCCCAGGGGATGGATGGGGAACGTCCTGCTGGGGTGCGGGTCCTTGCCCTGCGCACCAGGTGCCAACACCGGTCTCCGTTTTCCCTTCACCCTGTCCAACTTGGAGGGCTGGTCCTTTTCCCTCCAGCGTGATGCTGGTGCATTCCACTTCGCAGCCCCCCACTGCTGCTGGAACACTGCCATACCCGTCCTGGGGTGCTTTGGGTCGCTGGTGGCATGGTACATCCACCAGAAAGATTCCAGGGAGGGATTTGCCCTCCTTCATGGCAGTCCCCACCACTTCATGGCAGCTTTGTTTCAGTCCCTTTCAACCTAGGAGCTCCACAGCCCACTTCCTGCTGCTCTTGTGCCCCAGGGTTTTCATAGTCCCACCTATGACCCTGGAACATGCCCACATATTTGGTGGTTTCTGTGGAGATCTGACTGGGATGTCACCCCAGTGGTGGTTTGAACATCCTCCATCCTCCAGGCACTTTTTGGGAAAATCTGGCAGACAGAGCACAGCTCACCTTTGCCAACAGCCCTTTCTGCTCCATCCCAAGTAAGGTTCAACTACCCCAAGTAAGGTTCAACTATTGGTTGCTTGGAAGGGAGATCCCTCAGCCGAAGCTGATCTGGGATTTTATAAGATAGAAACCAAGTCTTAGGTTCAGCTGAGCATAGCGTGTATGCTGTCACCCCACCCATAAGTGGAGTAACTGATGTTTTCTGGACTGCCACCAAAATAAATGGCAGAGGTGCTAAGGGGCACAGCCCTCTTTTCAGGCTTGATCTGTCCATAAAGCAGCAGGGACAAATTCTTCACCCTTGTGCCTAGGAAATGGTAAATTGCTGGGGAGATAAGGAGGGGAAGGAGCTGTTGGAGGGATGGGGTGAGGAGCACAACTCACTGGTTTTCCTCCATCTCCTTCTGGCACAAGAGCTACGTTTAACCAAGACAAGCAAAAAGAAAGAGAAAAACTCCAGCAGCAGTAACACACTCCACATTTATCATTCATTTCCGATCACAGGTTTCACCAGAAAGAAGTCAGGATGACTCAGATAAAATGAAGGAGCCGGCACTGGCCTGCAGCCAGCCAGGCTTTACCGTGGTTCTATTGCCCCAGGCTCTGACTGGGATCAGAAACTGCTGTACTGGAGGAGCTGAAGCCCTGAACTTTATGCCCGTTTCTCTGCAGCCGCCCACCGAGGTGCAGCTGGGTATCTTGCATCATTCACAGCCCTCTGAGGATGTCCAAATCCTCCATATAAACTAGTTGGGTTCCCTTAGTAGACAACACAGTGCAAAAGATATTCTACCACTTTCACTGGGATCCAGACCAAGCTGGCATGGTTCAAAGGGTTGGACAGCATTTCTTAGGAGCCGCAAACCACTGACACCTAATCATCCCTAGGAGAAATGGGTTAGTAAAGGGCATCTAAGTATTTTGGCACTCCCTAGTGCTTTCTACCTTTATTTTCTCAGAAAAGAGGAAAATAAACTCCCTCTGGAGTCACCCTGGACTTTACAACTGCTTGAACTACACAAGCTGAGGGAGTTGATTGTAATTTTTTTCCTATTTATGGGGAGAGAAGGGCAGTTGCCAGCTTATTTGCTAGGAGCACTCAGTGTATGTGCAGAAAATCACTTTTTCTGGGTACGTTTGAGCAGAGGTTGCACACAGGGAAGCCAATGCCAGCAGTTCTGCATTTGCAAACATGGAATTACTAGGTTTAGGTAATTCAGGTATGTGTCAGAATGTGTTATGACACAGCTACATTTCCAACCATGGCAAAGTTCTCGCTCTCTGATACAGAAACCCACATCAGCTGGGTAAGAAGCACTAATGTGGTGAGAAGCAGGCTGTAAACCAGAAGATGGTATTGTGCAACACTGGTAAAAGATACCCTGAATTTCCTAGAGGGAATCTGCCCTGTTTCTCTTTCCTGTACTTGCTCAGAGCTTAGGGGTTATTTTCACTGTTCAAAGTTTGAAGAGAGATTCTTAAAAAGCAGCAAAACAGGGAGTGCAAACAGCTCTGAGGCTGTAACTTCAATTACTTGCCAATTTAGAATAAGGTCTAGAGCAGGTGAAAGCCCAGGGCACTCACTGAAGGGGTCCCTGTGAGAGCCTGGGGGTGGTGTGGGGTGCCAAGGCGGGGGGGGGGATGTGAGTGCATGGTCCACGGTAAAGCCCATCAGAGACATCTCCCATCTTTGAAAGTAGGAAAAATACAAAATAGGGACAGGATGGAGTGGGTTTACATTCAGACTCCATCTCTTTGACCCATTTTAGCCAGTCAAGTTTCTTCATGGCATTGAATGGTACATGGCAGGGAAGGGTGGGAGGATCATTCCCTGCATCCCCAACATGCTCCTCGGGGTTTGAAGAACAGGGTCTCTAAAGAAACATCTCCATGCCAAGCCGAATAAGGATGAAGAGACCCTGGGCAGTCTTCACAGGGTCAGATGAAGCCATCTAAGAGGTGTTTCAAGGGCAATTCCCTCGCTGACAGCTGCTAAAAGGCTGAGATAAATCACACACAAAATACACCTATTTTTCATCTGTTAACTACAAAGTGGAAGCATTTAGTGCTGGTCTCAGAGCTTAAAGTTAGAGATGATGAATTCCACCTTCTCAAAACATCTGTGTCAACCCAGCATGTCATTAACAGCTCAAGCAGGAAAAGAGCAACACAGATCGATCCTTCTATTAACATCAAGCCAGAACATCACCCAAATGTGATCCTCAAATAATAGCTGAACCCACAGCAGCAATGGATGGCAATGTCACAGCCTACTGACATCCTTCCCATGCCCTGGAAATACAGCCTGAAATTTATCAACCCCTGGAATCACAGTGCGTCAGTTTAAAGAGTGAATCACAGGCAATTTAATTCTATTACCCAGAAATATAAGCAAAATTGATTACAGGCTCCTAAAATACTAATCCTTGAGGCAGGGATTTGCTGCTCTGTAAGGACAGAGGATCCCAGAGGTCTGAGGGGTCTTCTGCAGATGCAATCTGCTTTTTCACTTCCCTGGAGAGGTCTCATATTTTAGGACTGAAACTGGAAGTGGAGGCAGCAGTTTTGCCCTGGCTGGCTTTCTCTTTATGCCTTCACGAAGCACGGACACAGGATCTCATGCCAATGGACTCCTCCAACCTTTGCTCCTCAAAGTTTGGAAAACTTCAGAGGGATGGCCTGGGCAGGCTGCAGGAGGTAAATTTGTATTTATGCTTTAAGGAATGTGAAAACAAACGTATAACACAAGTCTCCAGGCTCCCATGGACCTGTACCCTGCTTCCAATGGGAGCCATCTGACACTGCCCATCTCTAGGTCCCTCCAGTCCATTCCTAAACCAAGGGTGGCTTTTGATCCATGCACTGGGCAGACAGGAACAGCAGCTGTGTCCCCACATTGCTCCCCCGCTGTTGCTTCTCACTGTTACCACCCCAAGATCAATGCGAGTTTGTTCCCTGGCAACACGCAGCTTTAAATCATTCCTGCAAATTTCCTCAGCCATTCAAATCCTATTGAGTCCAGCATCAAGTGGCTCTTTTCACAGCCTGGGTGGGTATTTGTGTTTTGCCTGCCTTTAAGTAAATGAATTACTCTCACATTTATGTGGCGGCATTTGGCTGAGCACATTTAGTGAGATGCCAGCTCTGCTGTTCTCCATCAGAGCTCTACTGCATGAGATGCTCAACTTCCTCATAAGCAGCTCTTGCTGCTGTTGTCTTCTTAGATGAGCCAACCAGAACCACCAAGCTGAGTCGCTTCATGACACAGTTACGGTCTTTAGGAAGAAGTTGAGGTGTATTTCATGACAGAAGATATTTGAGAGGGTAAACCTTTCCAAACACAGACTCTCCCTTGCCCAGCTGCACCCCAAGCATCCAAACTGGTTGAGTTTTCCCGACTTCCCTATCCCAAAACCATTCCTCATTGGTATAAACTTCCTTTTACTGGCTACAAGGTAAGAAACTCTCCCAGCTGAAGTAACCAAGCTGCCCTGGCTGTGCACATCACTGGAGCTGCGGACAACTACAGAGGCCAGGGACAGAACATTATGTTGGAGAAGGCAGCTTGTACCAGGTTTCTAAAGCAAATCTTCATTTGAGTCTGATGCGTTGCTTACTCCTGCAGCAAAACACGGAGAGGTTGTAACCAACAGTTATTAATTTTATAATCAGGGAATGCACTTCCAAACAACCCATGGGAACTTTACTTTAGGTAGATTAAACTCCTCTGTGAAGGATGCAGCAGAAGCCCTGGAGAACCAATAGCTCCCTTAACGATCAGCAAAGCTAACCCAAGGATGGACCGGGTTTGCTGTGGAAACTGGAGACACAGAACATCCCCAGAAATCAAGAGGAGACATCTTCCTTCCCTGATGGAGATGAGCTTCTCAGAGTTGCATTGCCATTGCACTTGCTATCATACTCTACTACCAAAAACTTGAGAAAAAGTTATCAGATGTTGTGCTGCAAATAGACCTTCTAATCTGACCCCTACCTGCCCTGGAAACAACAACAAAAGCAATCCAAACTCGCTATGGAAGATAGCAATCAGCTTTACACCATTTACTTGAAAACATTTAACACTCTGTGCTGTGTACCACATGCACTGGCACCCTCCCCAGAGGCTGCTTGTCACCAGGATTTAAAGAGCAGCCAAATGGAAAGAACTCTCCGGTTTCCAGATTGGCTTTTCTAAAATACTCATTTATTTCAGCAGAAAGGTGGCAAAATCAGGACAAACAAACATTTCTGAAGGCTTCAGTGAAATTCTATTAAATTATTTAGGGAGCATCTT